GTGTAGGCTTCATAGCAGTTCCCATATATGTATAAACTGAGTAGGCTTTCTAGCTGTCCCCATACATGCATATACTAAGTAGGCTTCATAGCAGTCCCCATACATGTATACACTAAGTAGGCTTTATAGCAGTCTCCATACATGTATACACTGAGTAGGCTTTATAGCAGTCTCCATACATGTATACACTGAGTAGGCTTTATAGCAGTCTCCATACATGTATACACTGAGTAGACTTTATAGCAGTCCCCATACATGTATACACTGAGTAGGCTTTATAGCAGTCTCCATACATGTATACACTAAGTAGGCTTTATAGCAGTCTCCATACATGTATACACTGAGTAGGCTTTCTAGCTGTCCCCATATATGCATATACTAAGTAGGCTTCATAGCAGTCCCCATACATGTATACACTAAGTAGGCTTTATAGCAGTCTCCATACATGCATACACTGAGTAGGCTTCATAGCACTCTCCATACATGCATACACTAAGTAGACTTCATAGCAGTCTCCATACATTCATATACTGAGTAGGCTTCATAGCACTCTCCATACATGCATACACTAAGTAGACTTTATAGCAGTCTCCATACATGTATACACTGAGTAGGCTTTATAGCAGTCCCCATACATGCATCACTGAGTAGGCTTTATATTAGTCTCCATCCATGTATACACTGAGTAGGCTTTATATTAGTCTCCATACATGTATACACTGAGTAGGCTTTCTAGCAGCTCCCACATATGTATACACTGAGTAGGCTTTCTAGCAGTCCCCATACATGCATACACTGAGTAGGCTTTATATTAGTCTCCATACATGTATACACTGAGTAGGCTTTCTAGCAGTATCCCATTGACAGGTTATTCTTGTTAAAGAGTATGTTCTAAACATGTCAGTGATGTTCTGTTAATTCATTGATTTTCCTTTACTTTGAATTATTATTTCAATTACTCCTATACTCAGGGATCTGATAGCTGTGAGTTTTAGGCTTAGCATTTGAAGTGTATTTATATGGTATCTCAAAGCTCACTTTACCTATTCTTAAATATACCTTAACCCTCTATAAACTTATCACATTTTCACAGAAGTTCAAAAGAGAAAATTGATTTTCGAACTTTTCATTAGATATTGGCTGTCAGAAAGACTGCTAAAGTGACAAGCTACATTAAACTTCCACAGTTTATTATTAATTGTACATCCTGCATTGAAAAAGATAATATTGATTTGTCTGCAAAACATAATACAGAAGTATTTGAAATTGATATAGACGCATTTCAATTTCTTCCTTATTTAAACAAGTGCATCATTTTGACCTCACATTCAAACATT